TCCTCTCACTCTACCTGACACGGAAAATAAAGAATACATTATGCTCTTCTGTAAACCAAAGAAATAGGCGTTACTATCTTACCTGGTTGTCTCTTTCCTTCCTACACAAACTAAAAGGAGAGATAATACCTTCCTCTCTTTCTCTTTATCATGCTTTCTCTCTAACACTATGACGGCCAGAATTAATATAAAGATTAATATAGTTAATTACTTATTAAATACTTAAAATTTTTAGAATAAATAAATAAATATTAATTATAAACAATTAGTTTTTCATTGTAACGATAGCGTTTAAAATCTAATGTGAGAAATTATATTTCGTACAGACAGTATATCTATATATACTACAGCACGTTTAGCCTGCTAGTCGCGAAGAGAGTAGCCACCGCGCACATACCGCGCGTCGCGGCAACGTCACGCTTCCCACCGCGAAACTTACCTGGATAACGACCAGACTTCTATATACTTTGCTCGCACGGACAATTTCCTCAGTTCGCCGTCGAACTGACTCGGGGCTTGCTCCGAGGAAGATCGACGACAACTCTCTCCTTCTTTTCTCTCTTTCCTTTCTACCTGGTGCAAGCACGAGGTATCTCAGGTACAACTGGGGCTGCTAGCTTGCACTAATTCTTTCTCTCTACCTGGAGCGAGCAGGCGGTATCTCAGGTACAACTGGGGCTGCTAGTGTGCACCACTTCCTAGAGGGAGCTGTACTCGAGACTCAGGTACAACTGTGCAGTAGTAATACCCCTTGATACTTCGTTGCTCCATTCTCACACCTTTCTCGCTCTTTCTCGCCATTGTGAACCAACCCTGTGGTGAAGAGGTACAACTCGACGTCCACAGAGTTGATGCACTAGGTAGATTCTTCAACCCAAGGTACATCTTGGGGGAAGATGAAGCTTGAACAGGGATTTAATTATTTCGGTATATTTTCCTATTGGATAAGAGGGTCAGCGAGCGTACTGGCTCTTAACCGACACGATTTCTCCCTAGCTTTATTTTGTGAAATCGTCCCCACTAGAGTGCACAACCTATGTAATCGTTCAATATGAAAATCGGGAAGTAAATTCATGACTAACTTCGGGAATAATTAAATCTAGTAAAGCGTAGCTCGTTAGTAAAATATAATAACGTAACGTATGTAGAACTCGGTAAATACGTAATAAGTGAGACGTTCAATAGTGAAACGGTAAACTAATATGAGTCACTATTCTCGGATAATAAATTAGCGAACGATATTTTATTACTAGTATTTCTACGATCTATTTTGTTAATCTAAATTTATTTTGTTTAAGATATTTTGTTATTCTTTTATTTGTTACTAAAATATACTTTCTTACGAAGGTTTAATTAATGCCTTATTAATGACTACACCTTACTCTAAATCATAGTATAATTCGGTCCTAAACTTAAATACTGTTTTGATAAAGATTTAAAGACTAATTTGCTAAAATTAACTAAACTAAGTACCCGGACTCCATCCGGCGAGCTATTCTTTTGGCAATTAAAATCACAATCATTACATCATATTTAATAAACATATATTTAAAAATAATATTTAATAAACAAATAGTAATTTTTCACTAATAATATAATTTTAGTGGCGCCATCTATTGATGCAACCTTGAAATAACTCGGTAAAACAAAATGACTGATAGCAACACCCGCGACATTTAAAAAATCAGAGTGATAACAAAATTAAAAAATTAGTGGCGCCATCTGTTAGTTTAACCTTGAACCCTCTCGGTAGAACAGAGCACCCCCATTTAACCCACCTTAAACTATAAAAATTTAAATATCCCGCCAAGAGGGTTTGAATTCGCTGGTGGCGCACAGTGGGGCCAAATGTACTTTTTGTGTCAAAATCAGTCTAGAGGTCACAATTTTTATTCAAATTAAGCAATTTTTTTAAAAAAATCTTCGTTACTGAATTCTCTATCGATTCCTCCAGGCCGATTTTTTAATTTTTGTTTATTTATATTTATTTGTTTATAACAAAGTATGAAAAAATCAATATTGGATGTAAAATGCAATTTTAAATTCTTTTTTATTACGAGCTTTAACTAAGAAAAAAATATAAAAACTGAAAAACATAAAAAAAATTTCGAGCCACTCAAATTTTTTAAAATAACAAAAATAATTTGTTTAAACAATTTTTAAATTAGATATAAGGAAGTTATTTTCATAGTTACACTACCGTCTGAAATTATCGGCACGGCTGCACACGCACGGCCCAAAAACATACCAATCTTTAAATCACGATTTTTTTGTAAATACAAATGTCAGAAAATTAACAAATATACCATTCGAAAGACTATTAAATTATACGATTAATGGTACATAACTAAACATTTTAATAATTTATACAAAGATTGCAGCAATTGACAAATTTCACAAAAAAATTTTTAAAATACAATTTTTTTGGAAATTTTTTCAACCCCTGCACATTTTTAAAAATTTCAGAAAAAATTTGAAACTTATATAGGTGTGATCATTCAAGTCTCATCTTTAATTTAAGACAAAAAGAATTCAAAAATCTTATTCGGTTCGTGAGATATCATTATAAACGTCCGAGCATGTTTTTTGACAAATGCATTGAATTAGTCGATTTTGAACGGTTTTTGGATGAAAATGCTCGTCCGTTAACCGATTAAGATTTTTGAATTCTTTTGGTCTTAAATTAAAGGATTAGACTTGAATGATCACACCTATATAAGTTTCAAATTTTTTCTGCAATTTTTAAAAAATGTGCAGGGGTTGAAAAAATTTCCAAAAAATTGTATTTTTAAAATTTTGTTGTCAAATTTGTCAATTGCTGCAATCTTTGTATAAATTATTAAACTTTTCAGTTATGTACCATTAATCGTAGAATTTAATAATCTTTCGAATGGTATATTTGTTAATTTCCTGACATTTGTATTTACAAAAGAATCGTGATTTAAAGATTGGTATGTTTTTGGGCCGTGCGCGTGCAGCCGTACCGTACGATAATTCCCGACGTTAGTGTACATATTCTTACAATTTCTTAATATAAATGTTTTAGAAATCAAGATAAAATGTAAATTAGTATCTTGATTCTATTACAAGTTAAAAATATTAATAATTTGTTTAAATAATTATAAAAATTATCATTTGCAAGCCACACTTTTGAGTTTAGTTCATTTAAATAGAAAAATTTTTAGGAATAAAAAAAAATCGAAATTTTAATTTTTTTAAAATAAAATTTAACAAAAAACATAATTAATTTGTTTAAACAATTGTTAAATACTTACACAATAACTTTTATTTTTGAATTTAATTATTTTATGCGTAAAATGTTGAGAAATGTGAAAAAAAATTTTCTTGGTTAATGTTGAAAAAAATTTACAATTAACAATAAAAAATTGCTTAAACATTTTAAAAATTTATTAAATTAATACTAAATGTTTAAATGTTAATTACTTATTAAATTTCGGGTAAAAAACTCGAAGAAATATACTACAAATTGAATTTTTTCAATCATGTTCTTTTTCCCAAATTTAATTAATAAGCGTATTGTTTATTTAATAAAAGTGTAATTATATAAAAAATTTTACTTCAGGAATACTAAAACATGATTTCTAATGTACTTAAAAAATTTTTTAATGTTAAAAACTTTATTTTATAGCAACATATCGATTTAGATATGTCACCCTCTAGACTGATTTTGACACAAAAAGTACATTTGGCCCCACTGTGTGGCGCCATTTATTGGTTTAACTTCGAACTAACTCGGCCGGTAAAACAGTTTCCTATCTGATCAACCGGATTTGAATTCGCGATAGATAAGCTTGGTGGCCAAAAGACTAAATTGCCATTTCGCTAAATTAAAATTTTACACAGTAAGAGGTTAGGTTCGAAACACTCAGTCAGTAAAACAGTTTTGCTGTGCGTGGTTTAGCAAAATGGCAATTTAGCCTTTTGGCCACTAAGCATAACTGTCCTACTGGCTGCTTATATAATCTGTAATACCGACTGAGGGTAACATAGCCGAGATCAAATAATTAAACAATAAATTGTTTTTAACTTTTTTACAATTTTGTCATCTTCCTTAGACCCAAATACGTAAGTATTCCAAATCTGAATTAATTCTATTGAGATTTGTCCAAGACATGTCGATTTATGTTTTAAAACTAAATTAATGGAATAAATTTTTTGGTTTTTGTATTTTCCTATCTTCAATATTGGTCCCACAAAAAAAAGTCAGTGAGAAAAAAGTTGTGCATTTATATTCCCAACAAGATGGTGTTTTTAAAAAATAAAAATTTTGTCTTCATTTTTGGCATTTTTTGATAGCCTGACCGGATTCAGGCGGATCAGCCGAGCGAAGCGTCGGTTCTTTGATTGGAGCCCTCAATTGTTTTGGAATACATTTTGAAGAAAATGAACTGTAAATAAAAGCTGTGCTTACAATTTGAAAATTTAAATTTTCACAAGTGAAAATCGACCAGTTCTGTAGATTTGACCATATGCACTAATTTTAATGTCTTTTATTTCCTTTTTATGAAAATGTATTTAAGTGTTAGCAATATTTATGTCAAAATGGAATTCAAATGATTACAAATTTTATGGTATTAAACATGATAAAATTGTTTTCAACTTTAATCATCCTGTCAGGATGAAAATGCGAACGAAATTAAACATAATATAAATGTGTGCAGTTGAATTATTATCTCTAATGGAATAAAGCATGGAACTTCAAAAATGACATTAGCTTGGCATTGAAATATCCAGAATTGAGGGATATTTGTAAATATTTTAATTTCTTTCAATCAACCTCTTCTTACAGGGCAAAATCATCTAACATTTCACTAAGGATTATTTAGAAAAAGCCCAAACTTTTTAAAAGTTATATTTAAAGCTGTCACTGCTAAAATTAAACTTATGGAAAACATCGACTCCTATTATTGTTTTATTAGCTAAAAAAGTATTACAGCCTTCAATATACATATATTATGCATAAAATTTAATTTCGGTTCTTTTACACAAATGCCGTTTTTATTGTTTTTAAGTATAACATTCAAACACTTAAACTTATTACAAACTTTAAAACAAATATCGTATTTATCTAATTGAAATAATTTTAAAAAGCATTTCGTAGCGTTTGTATAATGTACATGTAAGAATAATACAGCTATTTGTAGCAACGATTATTGTTCTTATTAACCACACATCTCAATTGAGTTTAAGTTTAACAACTTTTCAAGGTATAAGTATATTACACGTTATAAATTTTTACTAACGCTATTAAAAAATGTCTTTTTTATGAGATGGTTCTACATCGTCTATTTTCGTTTTGAAATATAACCATGCAAAAATGTTACAATTGCATATAACTAGATAGAAACACAGGCCTCCTCTGGTGTCTTTGTAGCCCTATAATTCATATTTTTTGTTGGGCTTTATTTCTTCAAATATAAACATGAACTAGCAATATAAAATATTAAGATGTGTGAAAAAAATATAACTATTATCTTTGAAGAAACATTAAATCTATTTGTTTCAACACAGATACATATGAAAGCGAATTTCACCCCAAACGATGATCATTGAATCCTATACTTGCTCAGGTGGTGGACCTTCATCCATGTTTTCAGAAGATGAAATCATTATTTCTAATTGTTCTTTGGTGTTTGCATCATTGATAATATCATCCTCAAGACCATCAGTATTTAGGAAACTGTATCTCATAGCACCATTAAGAACCACTGGCGAAGAAGTGTTTTGTTGGATGCCTCTTAATGGAGTAGTAAGTGTTTTCAATCTCTGAAAGTTTTATTATACTACATTTTAATATTGTTTGTGGAAGAGAAAAGAGACATGATTATCACAATTAAATTTTTGTCATATTTGAATAAAAAAATTTTCTTGCTATTAATTACACAAGTCAACATGAAATTTGCGCCTGACATTTAAGATATTTTTTATGATAGATTTATCGACAGATACAAAGAAAAAAATTATATTATATCAAAAAGTTTGTTTTTGAAAATAGGAGAACGTTTTTACCATATTTTTGAAAATTTATGATTGTCTGAATAAAATGGTCAGTCAAAAATCTGTAAAGTACGTAATAAAAGATTTTTGATTTACAGATTTTTGATTGACCATTTCATGAGTATTGCATGAGTGCAAAATAAATATATTTTTTAAATTTTATTAAAAAATGGTGACTGTGCAGCATTTTATTGGAAAGCATCTCGTTTCAGGATTCCATGACCAGACAACTGACGTCCTTAATTTTTTTATCTGGAAAAAACGAAAATGTTGTAATTTTCTATACATCAACAGCTATCGACACACGTAGGATTTTTTTATATTGCTTACCTTTATTTTTATCAACAATTTTGTGCATTTTTTTCTTTAAAATTGTCACTTTTTTGTTCAATCACGCATCATTTTGCAAAAAATCAAAATATCGAAAAAATCATAAGTGTGTCGATAGCTGTTGATGTATAAAAAATGACAACATTTTGGTTTTTTTCCAAATCAAAAATACTACTTTTGCCCCAACACGTCACAGTTCCGAGATAAATTAAAATTTCTCCAAAAACTAGACATTTTTACCATTATTTGCGAACGTTTATAAAGAGAGAAAAAGACAAATTTTTCTGATAATTTTCTTTACATCTGTTGAAAATTTCATGTTTGTTATGAGAATTGACACCTGTACACGGAAAGAAATCTGTTGCTATTATTGCTTGCAGAATCTTTACAAATTTTATTAGTCACTGCTGAATAGAATTTTAGCTTGAGGTTATAATAATTTATATACGAAATCATCTATTTAATGTAATGGAGAGTTCGATGGAATAAAAACATAAATCAGCTGCTAATTTTGCACGAAATCTTTATAATAAATATAAAGAGAACGTGCTATAAAAGTATTAGATTCTTCTTATAAGAATCGCTCGAACTCCGATTGATTTTCAGGCGGACTTTATACAACACAATCTTACTTGCGTGTACGCACATATAACTCACACACACATATATTTCTCTGGATGGTTTCGAGGAACGGAACGCGTACAAAGCGGTGACGTTTGCAATAACATAACCTAACAATTTTCACATGTTGCTTATATATTCAAACACGAATAAAAATGCAATAATTTTTAAATAATATACTTACTATTAAATAAATATTATCTTTTTATAACAGCAACAAGTATTAAATACTACATATAATATATAATGTTTTACAGGACAGAGAAATATCAAATATAGAGAGAGAGAAATATATGTGTGTGTGAGTTATATGTGCGTATACACAGGTAAGATTGTGTTGTATAAAGTCCGCCTGAAAATCAGTCGGAGTTCGAGCGATTCTTATAAGAAGAAACTAATACTTTTATAGCACGTTCTCTTTGTATTTATAATAAAGATTTCGTGCAAAATTAGCTACTGTCTCTTATGCCTATTGCATTGAAAGTATTTTTACATTAAGTATATGAATCCATGCTAAAAATATAAGAGAAACGTTAAGCAATTTAAGTAATGTGCTCTTTCGAGTAATATTAGCAGCAGATTTCTCTCCGTGTAAATGTGTATAAAATCTAGAAATTACTAAATAAATTAATGGAAAAAATCGTTAAGTAGATGGTTACTTCAATTTATATAAAGTTACTATATGTAATTAAATATACTTGAGATTTTTGTATTTATGAACAAAATGTTTAACTTCAAATAGAACTGAAAGTAATATCAGATCTCGTAGTATTCAAAATCTCTGAAGTAAGTCATTAATATATTGAATATATTTTACTTATTAATTGCACTATTTGTAACATTAAATACATATTTAAAGAACAATGAAGGGTTAATTTTTACAAATAAACATAAAATTTCTGACAAATATGAAGAAAATTATGAAAATAACTTGTATCCCTATAGAAATTTGAAAATTTTTTTTTTATTTTTGATCTATTTTTTGGAGAAATTTTAATTTATCTTAAAACTGTGACGTGTTAGGGCAAAAGTAGACCCAGATTTGGATTCAGCGTGTCAAAATACGTATAGAACACATGGTGCGATCAATGTATATTTTCCCGAAAAAAATTTTATGGTCCTGTGTAATCAACTATTATTACCTAAAATATAAACAAAATCTAACTAAATGGATAAAAGTTATTCGTTTTAAAAAAAAATGTGCTTTAATGTTTAATGCCCGGCAAATTCCACAATTTTGAAAATTTTTAAAAATATTTTTTTCCTAAAATCTTTTGTCATAAAACACTACCTTTATACCAAGTTTCACAAAAATTGAAAGACCCATGACCAACTTTGATTTTTTTGAGAAAATTTGACCCAGCTCAGGATTTTTCAGAAACTGTTCCGTAATTCTTCAGATGAGACTTTATGAGAATGTCACAGGGTAACTCAACAGAAAGTGTTAAAATACTTTGGATTATTTCCTAAATAGTTTATTACTTATTGAAAAAGAAAAGTTTGAATTAATGCTGAAATGGTCGCGATATCCTGGGTTACAAAACGAAGTTTTTCATAGTTTTTTAGAAACTATTTCTTTCCGTGTAGGTGTGCACCCAATTCTTTAGTTGTTTGCCCCTCGTCGTAAACATTTTTTCAGCAAAAAGTTATAAATTTTTAGGTACTTTTTTCGGGTAAATGAATTTCTTTGAAGATAGCAAGTAAGACAATACATAAAACCTACAAATATCGCGTCCGCTGACATCAAATTTTAAAAATTCTAAATGAAGAATCCAATATGGCGGACGAATTTTTTTTAATTTGACAAAATATGTTTCAAACTCCCTACTCAGGAGACTTTGGGGTCGCTGTTTACGAATCTGACATAAATTTCAAAAATATAAAATGGCAGATCCAATATGGTGAACTAAAATTTAAAAAGTAATTGGATTTTGTTGAAATTTATTACTTGGGAGTTTTTGGGGTCGCTGATTACGAATCTGACATCAAATTTCAGAAATTCAAAATGGCGGATTTAATATGGTGGACAAAAATTTAAAAAGTTATTGAATTTTGTTGAAATTTGTTACCTACTCATGAGTTTTTAGGGTCGCTGATTACAAATCTGACATCAAATTTTTATAACACTTTATTGTAACTAAATAATTCAATTTTCTTATTAACCCTTTAACGCCCAGTGGTACATACGCTGTACCACAAATGCATTAAAGTCATCATAACTTTGAAACTAATACATATTACTAAAAATTTTAAATTCTTAGCTCTAGTAAAACTCTTCCAGCAGATAATTAAAAAAAACAAAAGTAAAAAAATAATAATAAATAATTAAAATAATAATAAATAAAAAAAGTGTCAAGATACATTTTCTCCTATGACGGACGAAAAAATTTTAAAAAATTAATCAGATTCGTTTAAAACTTGTTACTCGGGGGTTTTTGGGGTCGCTGATTACGAATATGAAGTTAAAATTGCAAAATTCAAAATGGCGGATCCAATATGGCGGACGAAAAAATAAAAATTAATGGGATTTATATGAAACTTGTCACTTGGGGGTTTTTGGGGTCGCTGATTACGAATATGAAGTTAAAATTGCAAAATTCAAAATGGCGGATCCAATATGGCGGACGAAAAAATAAAAATTAATGGGATTTATATGAAACTTGTCACTCGGGGGTTTTTGGGGTCGCTGATTACGAATATGAAGTTAAAATTGCAAAATTCAAAATGGCGGATCCAATATGGCGGACGAAAAAATAAAAATTAATGGGATTTATATGAAACTTGTCACTCGGGGTTTTCGGGGTCGCTGATTACGAATATGAAGTTAAAATTGCAAAATTCAAAATGGCGGATCCAATATGGAGGACAAAAAAAATAAAAAATAATAAGAGATATATGAAACTTGTCACTCGGGGGTTTTTGGGGTCGCTGATTACGAATATGAAGTCAAAATTGCAAAATTCAAAATGGCGGATACAATATGAAAAACAAAAAAATAACAAATTAATGGGATTTACATTAAATTTGATGCTTTGGGTTTTTGGGGTTTCTGAGGTTAAAATGTTAAGAATCATAATGGTGGATTTAATAGGGCGAATTATGTTTAATAAATGTAAGAAATTTAATCCATTTGTGAAAGGAAACCTGGAACGCTTGACTCGAACGAAAAAGAACAAATGATAATCAGCTGGCCAATCAATAAAAACAATTGACAACCCTGGAGCGCATGACTTGAATGAAAAAGAATAAATGATAGTCAGCTGGTAACAATATTCAAGTAAATCCTATTTAATTTTTAATTCTTGTCCGCCATTTTGGATCCGCCATTTTGAATTTTGCAATTTTGACTTCATATTCGCAATCAGCGACCCAAAAAACCCCCGAGTGACAAGTTTCATATAAATCCCATTATTTTTTATTTTTTTGTCCGCCATATTGGATCCGCCATTTTAAATTTTGCAATTTTGACTTCATATTCGTAATCAGCGACCCCAAAAACCCCCGAGTGACAAGTTTAATATAAATCCCATTATTTTTTATTTTTTCGTCCGCCATATTGGATCCGCCATTTTGAATTTTGCAATTTTGACTTCAGATTCGTAATCAGCGACCCCAAAAACCATTATATACCAAGTGTGGTTGAAATCGAATCGGTGGAAATAATTCGGGCTTTAAAGGGTTAAACTAATCCTTTAGAAAAAAGGCATGAGTGAGAAATCTCGAATTTCAATCGAAATAATCGATTGTACTCTCGCAGTTATAGCAATGAAAATGAAATATAGAAGGGCACAAATCCAAATGAAATATAGTACCATAAA